CTTGAGGGTCCTTAAGCCCAATAATATGAGTAGGAGCATATGGGCCTCGACAAAGGTTAGCCAGGAGTTTTCTGGCCTTGTTGCTGTATTTATGGAATTGTGGGGAGCGATAAGATGTTTTAATGCGTTCCCTTTTTTCTACCCAAAACTCAAAATTTCTCTTAGCTTCCTGCCATTTCTGTTCATTGCCGTGGATCTATTTTGGTCAAGTTCTAATTGGGCTTTACGAAGGGATGTGCTGGCCAAGCAAAACTGGTCCAAGGAGTACCGTTTATACTGGAAACATAAGATATAATTTTACCCCGTAGGACTGCCTTAGCCGTTTACCAAAACAAAATGGGATCAGTAGCACGTTCTGCATTTTTGAGGGCATAGTTATTCGAAGCAGTGAGTAACATATGATGAAAGTCTTCGTTGTCCGCGAGGTAGGAGGGGAATCTCCAAGGAGGTGGATTACCGCTAGGATCGTCAAGCTTGACCACAACCGGGATGTGGTCCGAGATGGCTATTTCAAATATCTCTGAGTTTCTCACCATAAGTAAAAGGGATGAAGAGCAGAATACATAGTCAAGCGGCACATGGTGTCGTGTGGAGGCGAGTAGTAGGTGAATTCCATATCTGTCGGGTGAGAAAGACGCCATACGTCCGCCATGTGTAGATGGGAGACAGTGTCCGCTAAGTGTGAGGAGGTGTGGGTGCAACTGGATATCACTTTGGGTCCTGAGGATCGTTAATTTCTGTCCTCAATAGGATGCATTAGACTATTAAAGTCTCCTCCCATCAAATGGAGGCGTTCAGGAAAGCGTAGGGCCCATAGAGTAAGATCCTGGAAAAATGGAATACCTTGGGAGTTTACAGCATAGATATTAGTAATTGCTGTCTTTAGATGCTATAGATAGATGTGCAGTGAGCTTATTGCCCCTCTTGGCCTCTATCTATCGAGCGAACAGTCTAGGACAGATGTTTATGGAAGAGGATGGCCACTCCCGCCCTGCGACTTGTGGCCGTTGAACCAATAACCTCCCCTAATCAGAGTTTCTTGAGACGATGAAGATCAGATTCTAAAAGGTGTGTCTCTTGTAGAAGGGCAATGTCTGCTTTCAAGCATTTTAAGTGACATAGGATTTTCATCCATTTGTCTGGAAAGCTTAGACCCTTGATGTTCCAGGAGATGACCCGCATAACTCCGTGGGGATCAAGTGTGTGATATATCAAAGCAGTGCTCTCCATTAAAAGGATGAAAGACAAAAAGGGGTGTGCTCACCTGAGATAAAAAAAAAAAAAAAGAAACCCTACTAAGGGCTAAAGGCCTGGTTCCTGCCTCTAGGCAGATAACATATATAGTACACTAACCAGCTGTTAAATAGAGACAATATCACAATGGTTGAATGAATATATGAACAGAGACAAAACAAATCGAAATGAAAAACAAAAACCTAGGAAACCCAGAAATGTCTAAGGACTTCACCGTTTTTCATGTGTGGTACACTCCACAATCCTGCTGAATGTCTAGTTTCTAAACTCCTGCATGATAAAGGACGCACATAAGTGATCCATATAGAGCGCCAGAGGGAATGCCAAATTGGATGTGGAAGGAGCACTTCGGCTTAGGATAAAGAAGCTGGCCACCCCAGGCTAAAGCTGGGAGCGTGGGTTCAGGGAGGACATTAACTCAATTTGAAACCAATGCAACAGGATATGAGAACAGATCTGGCCGCATTGGAAACTGAATAGGGTGCTCAGGCCCAGAACATACATGAAAACCATAGGGATGTACTTTCCCTGAGAAATGCATACAACATGACGTGTACATTAGAAAAAAGGAAAGAGGAGAACAACATCAACAGAATGTACTTTAGTCCACAGTAGTAGCCGGAGTCAGGATCCCGCCGGGGTCCCTGGGACGATCGTGGAGCGGAGTGCTCCAAAAAGCGGTCCATCCGGTCCCCTAGGGTGAGGGGTGGTAAAACCGCCTGGGTGACTGGTGATCTGGTGCAGTAGGGTGGCGGGGCAGAGGGTGGCGGGGCCAGGAGCAGCGACAGATCACTCCATCCTCACACGGTGCCAGAACCGGAAGTGGCTTGGTATTATTATTTAACAGAATGTAAGAGAAACAGGTGAGCCATTTCCTCTAACAGCCATCTGCTGTCAGATGAAAGTGACTGCTTTTTATAGTGATTGTCACTGCGAGAAACATGCAATGTCTGAAAAAATTGGTCTTTTCTCTATCTGGCTCAAAAAATTATAAATGAATTTTGGTATATTATTGTGACGGAATAATTATCAGACAGAGGATCAGAACACTGAGAACTGATAAATGGCCTGGCAATTAAGGAATAATGCAGGTTGGTACTCAAGTGGTTAAGATACTGCCCACAATTGAGCACCAAATTGTAAGGGGGCAAGCGTAACTGATAATGGCAATGGTTAAACATGCACGAGACAGAGACACCAAAGAATGGTCTAAGCATGTTTTACAATTTTTTCAGCAAGTGTACAGCAAGTCTGTAGTATAAAACAAACAAAACATCTGCTCATCCAAGCTACTAACTAAATTACTAAGATTCTTACTAACAGCTTTTCTTGTAATGGGTTCCCCAAAATAGACAGGCAGCACATATAACGTTTTAGTCTTTTGTTAGTAGTCAGTATTTTCATCCAGCAGCAAACTCTCACATCAGTGAGACTGCAAGAGGAATAATCTGAGAATCTGTCACATACAGTATATAAAGATATGTAAAAAGCTGAGACAAACAACAACAGCTTAGGTCTGGCTAGCAGGTAAAATGTGCGTCTAAGAATGGAGACTTTTCTCATCCAAACCTCTCCATACCTCTATATTATGTCACGGAAGTGAGTACACCCCTCACATTTTTGTAAATATTTTATTATATCTTTTCATGTGACAACACTGAAGAAATGACACTTTGCTACAATGTAAAGTAGTGAGTGTCCAGCTTGTATAACAGTGTAAATTTGCTGTCCCCTCAAAATAACTCAACACACAGCCATTAATGTCAAAACCGCTGGCAAAAAAAGTGAGTACACCCCTCAGTGAAAATGTCCAAATTGGGCCCAAAGTGTCAATATTTTGTGTGGCCACCATTATTTTCCAGCACTGCCTTAACCCTCTTGGGCATGGAGTTCACCAGAGCTTCACAGGTTGCCACTGGAGTTCTCTTCCACTCCTCCATGACGACATCACAAAGCTGGCGGATGTTAGAGACCTTGCGCTCCTCCACCTTCCATTTGAGGATGACCCACAGATGCTCAATAGGGTTTAGGTCTGGAGACATGCTTGGCCAGTCCATCCCCTTTACCCTCAGCTTCTTTAACAAGGCAGTGGTCATCTTGGAAGTGTGTTTCAGGTTGTTATCATGTTGGAATACTGCCCTGCGGCCCAGTCTCCAAAGGGGGGGATCATGCTCTGCCACAGTATGTCACAGTACATGTTGGCATTTATGGTTCCCTCAATGAACTGTAGCTCCCCAATTCCGGCAGCACTCATGCAGCCCCAGACCATGACACTCCCACCACCATGACACTCCCACACACTTGTCTTTGTACTCCTCACCTGGTTGCCGCCACACACGCTTGACACCATCTGAACCAAATAAGTTTATCTTGGTCTCATCAGACCACAGGACATGATTCCATATATCCATGTCCTTAGTGTGCTTGTCTTCAGCAAACTGTGGGCTTTTTTGTGCATCATCAGACCAATTTGATGCAGTGTGTGGCGTATGGTCTGAGCACTGACAGGCTGACCCACCCCTTCAACCTCTGCAGCAATGCTGGCAGCACTCATACATGTATTTCCCAAAGACAACCTCTGGATTTGATGCTGAGCACGTGCAATCAACTTCTTTGGTCAACCTTGGCGAGGCCTGTTCTGAGTGGAACCTGTTCTCTTAAACTGCTGTATGGTCTTGGCCACCGTGCTGCAGCTCAGTTTCAGGGTCTTGGCAATCTTCTTATAGCCTTGGCCAACTTTATGTAGAGCAACAATTCTTTTTTTTCAGATCCTCAGAGATTTTTTTGCCATGAGGTGCCATGTTGAACTTCCATTGACCATTATGAGAAAATGAGAGTGATAACACCAAATTTAAAACATCTGCTCCACATTCACACCTGAGACCTTGTATAACAAATGAGTCACATGATACCGGTGAGGGAAAATGGCTAATTGAGCCCAATATGGACATTTTCACTTAGGGGTGTACTCACTTTTGTTGACAGCAGTTTAGACATTAATGGTTGTGTGTTGAGTTATTTTGAGGGGACAGCAAATTTACACTGTTACACAAGCTGTACACTCACTACTTTACATTGTAGGAAAGTATAATTTCTTCAGTGTTGTCACATGAAAAGATATAACAAAATATTTATAAAAATGTGAGCAGTCTACTCACTTCTGTGAGATACTGTACATATTGTGACATTATGAAAGGGGAGGTGATTGATGGATGTTATGTGTTACCTCGCATGCGTTCATATCTAGGAGACTAAGGTGGAGTCCAGTCCAGAACCAACCCTGCCAAAGTGGCATGGAAAACCCGGACTGGACTCCACCTTAGTCTCCTAGATATGAACGAGATGATTTTGCTGTCCACTGATGACCACCAGCAAGTGGCATAAATAAAGCAGGACTGGAACAAGAAGTTGCTCTTGGCCTGGGACTCAGGGAGTCATACCTGAGAGAGCTGTGGATGAAAAAGTTTGCTTTGTACAAGAAAGGAAAAGGTTTACACACCCTTTTGCTCTACTGATGACAGGGAGAAGCCCTACACCTGTGAGATAGGAATCTCTTCTGTTTTGTCAGTGCCTGGATGGCAATAATTTATTTTCTGTTTTGTTTTTAATGCATGCAGCCTTTTACTTTTGAGTTTTTATGTATTTTTTGTCTTGTTTTCCTCTGCAAACAATGTGCATGGTGTTGAATCAACAGGGACAGACACTGCCAGTGTAGTGAACTTGGTTTAATGAGAATGGCGACCCTGTTACAATTTGTCTAAATAGTTGTCCAGGGCTGGGACTCCTTCGTTCAAGCCTTTGCGTTTCTGGGTTTCAGCCACCACTTGTGATGAGCGAGTGTTGGCCTCGAAGGGGTCTCCAGGAAGGATCTGCCAGTGGTCAAACATGCACTGAGGGAAGGCCTGACCACCTGTGTTAGACCTGAGATCAGCAGTGAAGCCGAATGATTAGTTGACGGGAAGGTAGTCTTTCACAACAAACATAGGGGTTCCGGCCACTTGGGACTCCTCAAAGATGTGTCCATGCTTCCTGTTCAGCATATCATAGATGCCACCTACAACTTGCTCTGGACAATGGATCTCCACCAAGTAGATGGGCTCCATTAGCCTGGGCTGGGCAGAGAGGGCAGCAGCATAAAGGACTCTTCTTGCTGTGGGGATGATCTGTCCACCTCCACGATGAATGGCATTAGCATGCAGGGTGACATCATGAATTTTGAACCTGACGCCTCGCATGTTCTCTTCACAAAGAACTCCCTCTTTGGTGGCCCACTGGAAGCCAGCAATGACGCTGTCCTTGATCTCATTGAGGTACTGGACACCTTTGGTAACATCAACCAGGATGTTGGTTCCTGTTCCATCAGGTCCAAAGTACCAGATCTTCCTGGCCTCAGTCACATCCCATTCGTACTTCTCTTCCAAGTAACAGGCACGTGTCTTCAACTCCTGTCGGGAACTGACATCTCCTTTGTCGATATCTTCAGCCAGGCCATCGGGGAACGGGCGGGCTTTGGCGTACAGATGGTTGTGCTTGTTTGGGCACTTGGACGGACTCTTTGCTTACAGTCTCGTGGTATGATATGACAGGGTCAGATTTCTTGATGGGAATACAGGCATGGTCCTCTTCCAGATCTTTAAGACAGATTTCCAGATGAAGCTCACCAGCTCCAGCAATGATGTGTTCTCCAGACTCTTCAATTATACACTGCACCATAGGATCAGACTTGGCCAGATGTTTGAGACCTTCAACCAGTTTTGGGAGGTCAGCTGGGTTTTTCGCCTCTACAGCCAAACGGACGACAGGGCTAGCACTGAACTTCATGACACGCAGGTTGTGGGCATGTTCAAAGGTGGTGATGGTTCCAGTCTTCACCAAGAAGTGGTCAACGCTGACAAGACTGACTATGTTACCGTAAGGGACATCCTCAATGGACTCAACATAACGACCCATCATCAGCATGGTCCTCTGAATAGGTTTCAGGTAGAGATCCTCCTTCTTGCCTGGTGTGTAGTTAGGACCCATAATACGCACTTTCTGTCCTGTAGATACAATCCCGGAGAAGACACGGCCAAAGGCATAGAAACACCACTTCAGATGTAGGCACCATCTTGTATATATACATCATCAGGGGTCCTTTAGGATCGCAGTTTTTCACACCCATGGCAGCCTCATCATTGGGTGGTCCCTCGTACAGGAGCTCACAGCGGTATCTCTGTGCAGGAACTGGTGATGGCAGATGGATTGTGATCATCTGAAGCAGGGCATCTCCAGAGGGCAACCAGCATCTCATTACAGCCTTCAGAAGTTGCTTTCCTTCCTTGTCTCTATCCTCTGTGTCCAGCTTGATATCCAGCTTCTCAATCAGTTTGGCAGCTTCATCTTTCTTGAAGTTCATGATGGCATCAAATATCTTGAAGATAGGATCCAGAATAAGTTGGCTGAAGGTTCGGGGTAACTTCTTTCCTGCAGGAGAGCTTGCAGATTTGCTGAATTTACCAGAAGCTGGATCAAAATACTTGTCTCCCCAAAGCTTCTTCATCATGTCTTCTACTTTCTTTGCGCACTCTGCTGGTGGAAGCTCTGCCTTCTCTCCTTTGGCAGCAAATTTGGAAACGTACATCTCAGCAAACTGTTTCAGGGTGAAGGCCCAGCCATAGAGACCAGAACTGAAACCAACTGTGCCAACTACTTGGTCGATCATAATGTTCCCCATAGGTCCAGTTTCTCCCTCTCCGTAGGTAGAGATGATAACGTTGACATTTTTCACTATCCTCTGGAAGGTCAAGTACAATTCTTCAGGATCCAGTTGAAGTTCCAGCAGAGCCCGGTCCATTTTATTCGTCATGAGAACTGGCTTGATCCTTTCTGCAATGGCCTGCCACAAGACTGTCTCTGTATGCACACACCTGACACAGTCAACAACTACAAGAACACCGTCTGTGACACGGAGGGCAGCAGTGACCTCAGAGGAGAAGTCTACATGTCTGGGGGAGTCAAAAAGGTTAACAAGGAAACCAGAACCATCCTTGCACTGTTTGATGAAAGCCAAGTCGTTGTCCGTGAGCTCATAGAACATGGAAATTGTCGTGGATTTGATGGTGATACAACGTTCTTGCTCATCTTTATGAGTGTCTGCGAAGCGAGTTTCACCAGCTCTGGCAGAGGCAATGATCTCGGCTTTACATACCAAGGAATCTGTCAAGGTGGATTTACCATGGTCGACTTGAACAATCACAGACATGTTTCTGATGTTGGACTTTTTGTCCATGCTCGCTCGGAACTGGTCTACGGTGAAGTTCACCATGGTGGCGGATGTCTCCGGATTTTCCTGGCACAATGGAGCTGGGAGACGCCTCACTGATGGATGGCTCAGGGAAAAAAGGTATGCAACCTTTTAATTAAACTGGCTACAAGTCAGATTTTTAAGAAAGATTTGCCGTCTGAACTACCTTTTTCCGAAGGAAGGTGATCCCCCACCTGAGCTAACCCCCACATATGATGGATTTGGTGGGCAACTTCCTGAGCAAGTGGAAAGATTGAGGCGATAAGAGCCTTGCTGCAGGCCATTGCAACCCAGCAGGAAACCAACCGCCATTTCTCAGAGGCCACTCTAGCACAGCAGGAGGCAAATTGTCAGTTTGCGGAGGCCCATCAGGCAGACCGAGAGCTCCTTATGAGGTGACCCAACACCTGGTGGAATTAAAGAAGGAGTCCGTAGGTACACTGCCAAAGGAACAGAGAATAGTGCGGGCCAGCTATTATCTGCAAAAGATGATGCCTGCAGGTGATGTGGAAGCCTACCTCACAACTTTTGGGAGAGTTGCTGTTCGGGAAGGATGGCAAAAAGAGCAATGGGTGGGACTGCTTGCACCATTTCTGACAGGTGAACCCCAAAAGGCCTATTAAGACCTGGAACCAGATGCTGCCCAGGATTATGAGAAGCTTAAGGCTGAAGTTCTTGCACGCCTGGGTGCTGCCATTGCGGTCCAGGCTCAACGGGTGCATCAGTGGTCGTAAAGCACTGACAAGCCACCCCTCTCACAGATGTTTGACTTAATACATCTCACCAGGAAGTGGCTCCAGCCAGAGACATTATCAGCCCCTCAGGTTGTGGAGTGTGTGGTTATGGACCGGTATCTATGTGGGCTCCCTGCCACTTTGAGGAAATGGGTCGGCCATGGAGACCCTAAGACTGCAAACCAGCTGGTGGACCTGGTGGAGAGATATACGGCCGCTGAGGACTTGTTCCACTCATCTGTGCCCCACCTCAATGTCGCTAGGGGTGAAAAAACACCCAGAGATTCTGGTAAGACTGTTTCAGGGTTCAAGGGCTCAGGGAAAAATTACAGGACTGTTGCTTCAGACAATGAGACTGTGGGCTCAAGACCTGGAGACTTTATTAGAGGTCTAGGTGCAGAACCTATAAAGTGTTATCATTGCCATGCATTAGGTCATATTGCTGCGAACTGTCCCCTAAATGATGAACCGATGCAAAGTGATAATGCCTATTTAGAAAAACGCATGTCTCTTTTTGCACAGGTGGTATGTACTGCAGCATGTCAGGAACGCATGGAAAAGCAAATGTGTGTGATTTCAATTGATGAAAAGCCAGTAACTGCTCTGCTAGACTCTGGTAGTGCTGTGACCTTAGTCAAAGGTGATTTTGTAAACCCTGCAAGGTTGCACCCTAGCACTGTTTTGGTTATTTGTATAAATGGTGATACACATGATTACCAGACTGCTATGGTTGAGATTGATACTCCCTGGGGCTCTGTGACACATTCAGTGGGAGTGGTACCCTCATTACTTCATGAAGCCAAAGTGGGAACAGATTTTCCACATTTCTGGAGATTGTGGGAAAAGAGGAGTCAGGAGGACTGAGCTCCCCCTGCTGGGGAAACACATGAACTCACTCCTGACCTTTTGACTGCAAAGTTGAAGGGGAAACTGTTGGTGTGTTTAAGAAAGGGGTAGATCCTTGCCCTTTCTCTGTAATGGCTGGGGAGCAAGAGGAGCTGGATTCAAACCCAGAGGTTTAGGATAATGAACAAGAGATTATCTCTGGCTCTAATGAGAGTGGACAGAATGTGGTGCGTGACATAGAGGTCAGAAAAAGAGGATTTTTGTATGGAACAACTGAAAGCCCAAGAAAACATTAAAATGTTTGATGGGGAACCAGTTGAAACTGATGTAGGGGTGTCTTTTCCCTACATGGCTCTTAAAAATAGCTTGCTGTATCAACTGGTAAAGCAAGGGGAGGAGGTGGTGGAGAAGCTAGTGGTCCCCAAACCCTATTGCTGGATGGTACTACATTTAGCCCATAGTCATATAATGGGTGGACACCTGGGAAAACTAAGGATAGAATAACCCAGAGATTCTTTTGGCCGGGTTTACACGGAGATGCCAAAGAGTATTGTGAGTCATGCTTAAAGTGTCAGTATTCTGCACCTTCGCCCCATTTTCACAGTCCACTGGTACCTTTACTGATAATTGAAGTGCCTTTTGAAAGAGTGGCAATGGATCTAGTGGGACCAATAATAAAGTCTGCCTGAGGCCATCAGCACATACTGGTTATACTGGACTATGCCACACGGTATCCTGAAGCCATTCCCTTGCGTAATACCTCTGCTAAGACTATTGCCAGAGAGCTTGTTCAGGTATTTGGTTGTGTGAGTATTCCAAAAGAGGTATTAATGGATCTGGGCACGTCATTTATGTCCAGAGTCACAAAAGAATTGTGTAAGTTGTTCAAAATCTCCGTACCTCAGTCTACCACCCCCAAATCGATGGTCTTGTGGAGAGATTTAACAAGACGCTCAAGAATATGTTAAAAAAAAGTGGTGGACAAAGATGGGAGAAATTGGGATTTTCTGTTACCGTACCTCATGTCTGCTATACGAGAGGTACCTCAGGCTTCTACAAGGTACTCACCTTTTGAACTACTGTACAGTAGACATCCTAGGGGGTTGCTAGATGTCACAAAAGAAATGTGGGAGGGATAGAGAAGCATCATTAAGCATCGATGCAGGATAGAATCGCAGCTGTCATGCTGCTTGTACAGGAACATATAGAGCAAGCCCAGGAGGCCCAGAAAAGGTTTTATAACGGGGTGCCAGGATCCATACCTTCAACCCTGGGGATAGAGCGCTGGTGTTAGTTCCCACAGTGGAGAGTAAATTCCTCGCAAAGTGGCAAGGTTCCTTCGAAATTATGGAAATAGTAGGTAAAGTAAACTATAAAGTGAACCAGCCAGCGAAAAGGAAACCTGAGCAAATATATCATGTTAATCTCTTAAAACCTTGGAACGACAGAGAGACTTTACTGGCAGTACCAAGCCCCCAAAAGGACATGGTCCTCATGACACCTCAGGTACCTATAACTGAAACCTTGTCACTGGCCCAACAGAATGACATTAAGGAGTTTGTGAGAAAGAATGGAGTCTTTTTCTCTCACCTACCCGGACTGATCACAATAATACAGCATGACATAGTTACACAGCCGGGTGTCTGTGTAAATGTAAAGCCATAAAGATTACCAGAGGCCAGAATACCTCAGGTGGATGAGCTCCTAGACAGGTTGGGAATGGCCCGATACATAACTACCTTAGATCTGACTAAGGGCTATTGACAGATACCTCTAATGGAATCTGCAAAAGAAATTCAGCATTCTCTACCCCTGAGGGGTTCTTCCAATATAAGCGGATGTCGTTTGGTTTGCATGGTGCTCCTGCCCCATTCCAGAGAATGATGGACAGAACATTAAGACCGCAGCTGCCTATTTGGATGATGTAGTCATCAACAGCCCAGATTGGAAGTCTCATTCGCCCTAGGTGCAATCGGTAGTAAATTCGCTTAGGAAAGCAGGTCTTACCTCCAACCCCAAAAAGTGTGCCATAGGCATGGAGGAGGCCAAACACCTTGGCTACATTATTGGTCAAGGATCATTAAAGCTGAGGCAATTCAAAAGTGGCATCCAACCTATAAATAGAAAGCAAGTCTGGGCATTTTTTGGGATCACAGGCTACTATAGTGGTTTTATACCTAATTTTGCTACCATTGCAGCCCCACTGATAGATTTGACTAAAGGGGGTTGGTTATGATTGAGTGAAATCCTGAAGCTGAGACAGCATTTTAACTGTTGAAACAAGGTCTCTGTGCCCAACCTGTGCTCTTGACCCCAGATTTCACAAAAGACTTTGTGGCACAGACGGATGCCTCTGATGTGGGACTTGGTGCTGTACTGTCCCAAATCAGAGATGGGTAGGAGCACCCCGTGGCCTTCCTGAGCAGAAAGCTTAATAAACATGAGAAAAACTATGCAATTGTTGAGAAGGAATGTCTGGCTACCAAATAGGCCCTGGAGTCCCTGAAATATTACCAGCTGGGGAGACAATTCATATTGGTTACTGATCATGCTCCTCTAAGGTGGATGTGCGATAACAAGGAGAAAATTGTTGAGTGACAAGGTGGTTTCTTGCACTGCAAGCATTTAAATTCACAGCGGAGCATAGAGTGGGGAAGTTCAGGATAATATAGATGCCCTTTCCCGTGTCCATTGCTTGGCTGGCACAGCTGCTCAGCCGCAGTGGCTTGGGCAGAGAATTGGCAGGTCTGCCACTGGCACCCTTTGCTTTTCACAGATGAGAGCAGGGTCACCCTGAACATATGTGACAGACGTAAAAGGGTCTGGAGAAGCTGTGGAGAACATTATGCTGCCTGTAACATCGTTCAGCATGACCATTTTGGTAGTGGGTCGGTGATGGTCTGAGGAGGCATATCCATGGAGGGATGCACAGACATATACAGGCTAGACAATGGCACTCTGACTACCATTAGGTATTGGGATGAAAACCCATTGTCAGACCTTATGCCGGTGCAGTGGGTCCTGGATTCCTCCTGGTGCACTACAATGTCTGGCTTCATGGCGAGAGTATGCAGGCAGTTCTTGGAGGATGAAGGAATTGATACTATTGAATGGCCCCCACGCTTGCCTGACCTAAATCCAATAAAACACCTTTTTACGATATCATGTTTCGGTCCATCCAACATTGCCAGGTTGCATCTCAGACTGTCCAGGAGCTCAGTGATGCCCTAGTCCAGATCTGGGGGGAAATACCCCAGGACATTGTCTGTTGTCTCATTAGGAGCATGCCTCGACATTGGCATGCATGCATACTAGCACGTAGGGGTCCATACAAACTACTGAGTACCATTTTGTTGCTGTAAAATGGACTAACCTGCTGCATAATTTTTACACATTGATTTTCGGGGTGTCTTTGAATTCAGACCTCTGTAGGTTGAAAAT